TTTATACTGCAGATTATTACTACGTAATCAATGTTTAAAGTGGCTTGTGCTAGTAAGGGTTTCGGATATAGTTGCAGTCTGCGTAATGGATTTCTAAATAGTGGCTAAGCGAGCTTGTTGATACGTACACATAGTTACTTCGAAGAGCGCAGAGATGCAACACAGGATAGACCACGCAATACAGGTACTGGCTAGTATGCTTTAAACCACAAGCAACTATGTGCATGAAATGTTTTTAAACTTGATATGCACCTAGTACATGGTCCTAAGAGAATACTCCAGTAGCATTTGTGCCTTTTGTTTTTCGTGGCTGCTTTAAACAACGAAGTCATTATGATAATCACATGTTCTGATGGCCAGTGGCAATGTACATTTGTACCATGAAATACTGCGATATTACATATTGTATTGTGAAGCATGTATACTAGACGCGTGTATTTGTAAAGCATGAAAATTATTTTTGAGCAGGCACGTGACTTTGTGGTAGAATGCCTGCTTGCCACAAGCAGCTTGGCTTCTATTCTCACTCAGACCTAGAAGGTTTTATTTGTTATTCTTTTTATTTCCATGTTTTTATATACTAGACCAGATGTAAAGTGAACATGGAGAATTTCGTGCACCAAAAAAATGCCAACACTGCAGCTCTACAGGTGGAATCACACTTGTCCAGAGCAGCGGAGCGCATGGCTCTTGTTTGTGACGGCTTCTACGTCACCTTAGCTACATGCTTCTGTTCACGCTTAAATTATCGCACAAAGGCCTAGCACGCCGTATGCCATGTTAGATATTCATACGGCGCCGGCATTAACATATTTCTGCAGAAAACAGCCACTGGAGCGGTCGGCTGGGTGTTTTAGACAAGTGTGATTCGATCTCTAGAAATATTAAGTGATTTAACACTCCAAATTTAATTTTGTTGTGTTCGATTCAACAGTCATGATTTGCAAAACTGTATATGTTTTAAAAGTTTACTAATGTTTTAAAATGTTAAGTACACCAAAATAAAAGAAAACTTGTGCAACAGTATGATACACAGCATCCGCCCTGGCACATTAAAAGAAAAAAGACTTGTGAAGTTGTGTAGCGCAGCTGGCTACTCAGCTCCAGGAATGTGCTTGTACCAATGAATACTTACCCTTTCTTAACGGTTCTGTGGATTTCGAGGGCCTGATTTTTTCCTACGGCCAATCAATTTTTTTAATGTACATTTCTTTTATGTCACTGGAAAGCTCGTAATTCAGAATGTCTAATCACGCATTGGCAACACAAAAAAAACAATGAAACAGTTTTCACCAACCCTTGTTGCTGATGGAGTCTTATATGCAACACGTGTTGAAAACAGTGGCCTACAGCTGTTCACTGCATTGGTACCAAATTCTGCCATGACAGAGTGCATGAGCAAAGTGCTGGAGAGATGGTGTGTGCATGCACTGTGGTTCAATGCAGGTTTTTTGTTGCTGTGGAGGAAGCTCCACTGCTGAGCATCAATTTCTTAACCTTTTGATGGTTAATAGGATGAATGCATCCCAATTTTTCCTCAGTAAAACTTTCTCTGCCACTTCACGTTGCCATCAGCACAATGCCTTCCAGTTGTGGTGTACCAGAAACATTAAGGAAACTGAGAAACTGTATATTGCACATTTACAATGCATAGTATTAGTGATACGTTGAGTTTAAAATCTTTTATTCTGTTAATATTTTTTTTTCAGCCGGTGTCATATTGCGTACCAGGTAGCTAAAGTTTCAAATTTATGGTATTCTTCTGCTCAGATTTTTTAAAGAATTTTAGCATGCAACTATAGATTTTCTTTCTAAATTTCAAAAGTTATATCCACCTAAAATCATTCTGGAAGTGCACTCGAATGAAAAATGAAGCAGTTCCTTGCATAGCCTAACAACATAGCATACATGCATAACTGTTTTTTCATGTTTGATGGATGCCACAAAACAGCACATTCTTCGATATTTTTTATCATTAAGAGGAGAGGCAATGAGACCAAAAGCTGTGGCTAAGACACTGTTGCTAAAATTTCGTGCCAGAGGAAAAATATGGCAAAATTGCTGCTTCATACAGCCAGGAAGCCAAAGAGAACACGAATTTTCAAGATCATCAAATCATGCAAGATATATGAGAAAAGCAAATATGTCACACCTCAATAGAGTTCACGAATATGATGCAGCATTTGTGAACACACTTACAGCATTCAGTGCATTGACACCACGTCAAAGTGGCTTGCCATGATTCATTACCACAATTTTAATTATTTGCGAAAATGCAGGCTTAACTGAGATGTTCGCCCTTATTCGTTGCAGATACAAGACAAGACATGCATAGACACAGCTTCGTTAAATGTGAATGAAAAGCAATATTCTCCTTTTTCTTTATTTTTATATGAATGCGTGCACTCATCTATGCCTGCTGTTTTCTCCTTGTTTTCGACGAGTTTCAATATTATCGCCACCTACCGACAAGACAGACACAAGCTGAAAGGGTACGTTTATGTGAAGACCTTGGACAGAGCCGCTAGACTCAATGCCACAGGCAGAGGCGCATAATTGCGTACAAAATCTGAAATGAAGGTTCACTGCAATTTTTCTCCCACAGTTTTAGAAGTGTTCCTCTGTACTGCTTCCATTGGGCCTTTTTGGGCAAGAAATTTGACAGCAGAATTACAGCTTGGTGCCCTTATGAGACAATGTGACATGTGTTGCCCCACTTATTCAAAGATGCTTCATGAGTCGATGAGCCACATGCGTCCCACTTTTTTCTCATAAATTGATGGCCATATTTTAGTGAAGATTGTGTCACACTATTTTTAGGCATGAAGTTCGGCAAATTTCTGTTATTATGTGAAAAATATCGATGAATTCACGAACGGTAAGTTAAATTGCATAATAAGCAAAATTGAAAGTGAGAATGCAATATATATACTATATAATTTTAAGCCAGATTAACGATTGTCTGAGCTGCAGCAGGCAACGTGCAGAAATTCTCCAGAACTCGATACTAAGCTTTTGCCACGAAGCAGTGTAATGGCACAGCTGCTGTGATTTTCAAACACCATCTGAAAATACATATACAACTCAAATTACTCAAGGGAAAGGGAGCTTGACTTTATCATACTTCTGCATGTTTCCAAATAAAGATCTATTTACACTTCCTGGCCAGTTAATTGCTGTACCCCTAAACAGACATAAAAGTGAAAACCATGACATTTGGTAGTCTAACAATGGACCTAGGGATTTCAACATCACACCAATGTGATTTGGCATAAGCTGTAAAAGCTTATTCAATCAGTCATACATTGTTACCCTTTTATGCCAGTTTTAACGCGATAGTTTAAAAAATCTCGTGGTCATCATTGATTGTGAGTGATGAACCTTGTGAGCAACCGGAAAAATCAAGAAAGATGCAAAAAAAATAAGTAATAAAAAATTTCCCAGTTTGCGGGAGGATCAAGCCCAGGCCGTTTGCATGGCAAGCAGGCGTTCTACCGCACAGCCACACATCTGCTTAGAAATTAAGGAAAATAACTTCATCTGCTTGAAAATGCAGTGAAAATAATGTTAGGCTTTGCAAACACATGTGTCCTGTATACTGTCTTCACAATTCAATGTAATATCACAGTAATATTTCTTGATACAAGTGTGCATTGTAATCAGGCATCAGAACATGTGATTATCTTAAGGATTTCATAGTTAAAAGGTGGCCAGCCATAACAAAATGCACACATTTTGCTGCACACATTTCCTTCAGACCACATAGTGCATACCAAATTCGACAATATTTCATGCACCAAGTGCTTGAAGTACGCACTAGGGCCAGGGTATCATTATCGTGTTCAATTCTTGAAAGCGAACCTTAAGGGTCGCCCAAGTTTTCTTTTTTAAGTGATGGAAATGAAGCATTATTCTAACCATGGATATTTTTATGCCAGCAATTAGACTAGTAGGTTAGCTCAGCGAGCCATTTTTGCATTTATATCAGGTTTATTTGACTCAAGGAAAGCAATATTATTTTCAAATGGCACTGTATGCCAAAGACCTGACATTGTGTCTATTGTTGGACATTAATCTCCAGGTATCCTCGGCCCTCCCTCTTTCTCTCGTTGAAGGGCCTGTTTTTTGTTTAAGAAAAGGTGGCAACCCTGGTGGCCGCAAAGTGTGAAAACAGTATAAAAATATTGAAGCAGGTTGTGTAGACAACAATCTACAGACAGTGAGTGGCATACAGAATTGACTTGGCTGTCTTTAATGTGTGTGTGTGTGTGGGGGGGGGGGGGGCATAAAAAAGCTGCTACAGGGCTAAAACAGATGCCGTAAGTGCAGTGGCAACTATGCAAAGGGGCAGCTGGAAAGTCTACTTAAATCTTCCAAACATGAGCGTCTCGAATTCGCTGTAGTTTTATCTCGAACAAATTAGGACTTGAAAATAAAGAAAACCTACTCCTCATATATTTGAAACAGGCACATATTGCAAGAAGGCTGTTGATAAACCAGGAACAAGTTTAGCCATGCCTTCATTGTTGTCAATTGTGAGCACACAATACATACCACAGCGATACTTTTGGGAAGCACACCTTGATGTGACCGAGGTTAGGGGCACAGGCTTTCACCCAGGTGCTGGGGAAGAAGACACCTTTGAGAGGCTTCTTGACGACAGAAACACACGATTTATTTACATATTTACAGGTGTAAAAAACACAAGGCGTCGAGATGCGCTTTTACAGGAGACAGGACTGGCCGTAACGAAGGCCACAGAGAGAGCCCTGAGCGCACACGCGACGCGCTTTTCATATCCTCGGTCCGTGCATGCACCTCTCCTCAAACACGAACTGTCTGTCCCAGACAGTTCGTGTTTGAGGAGATGTGCATGTTTGAGGAGAGTTCGTGTTTCAGGAGAGTTCGTGTTTCAGGAGAGTTCGTGTTTGAGGAGAGGTGAACACGCATCAGCAACGCTGATGCGTGTTCCCTGCAGCACACCCAGACACATTTTGCGGTTCTGCTGGACGCGTACCACATTTGGCTGGTACGCCAATGAGCGTCTATTGCAGACTTGGTCCTTGCACTGCCAGTCATAACATTTGAATGGATACTGGCAAGCTAACTGGCACCTCCGAACCTGTGCTGCTTTAGAAGACGGGTCCCATCTGCAACGAACCACTTCTTAGCAGCAGAAGAAAAGAAAACAAGAATACTTCTTGTTTTTTGTTTTTTTTTTGCTTACCCGAGGCAACATTTGAACCAGCGAATTGAAAGCTGAGCATAATAACTCTTCAGCTATTTATGCATGGTGACAGAAGAAATCATAGCCTTAAATAGTAAATAGTATAGGGGGTGGGAAAGGCAAGGGAGGATGCAAAGAAGAGAGTGAAAAAGAAGATGGGAGAACCATTAGAAAGAGGAGAAAGAGAAAAAAACAAGGGGAGAAACCAATTGTGTAGAGAGAGCAAAAAATAAAAATATATTAACTAAAAAAAGCAGGGTTGTGCAAATATTCAAATGCTTCGAATATTTGAAGGAACAGTACTGTATTCAAACTCGCTTCGACTCGATTTTAAATTATTAAAAATTTTGAAGTATTTGCAATGAACAAATAGTTAACATTGATCTGCACATAACCTCCTGTGAAGGTGATTTCACTAAAGCATAGAGTGCTATGCTGTGAAAGCACCTATCCAAGAGAATTCGCACTGCCGCAAAACCTCTTCAAAGTTTAAAGGGCACTGCAACTCTTATTGAATATGGTCGTAAAATGCGGCCAATCGGTAGTCAAGACTCCCGAGAACAGGTGAGCCAAATATTGTTGTGCAGCACAAGGCCACAATTTCTCAATAAATGTTCAAATTCACCTGAAAATTGCTTTCCTTTACTCGACAAATTGCGCTACAAGCTGAAAAATTACCCATTACAGCCATTGTATCAGCGATTGGCTGATTCGAGCATGGCACATTGGACGTTAATGGGGCCAGGCTCATTTGGACTATGATCGAGTCGTGAGTTTGAGTGAGTACAGCAGAGTAATATTACATGAGCTTGAGTCAGAGTGAGTGTGGCTAAGGAAAATTTTAATGAGCTTGAATCCAGTGAGGAAAATATTTGCAAGTCTGAGGTGGTGAGCCCTAAGCTCAACGTGTATTTCTTGGTTGAGCCTTAGTGAGCACCACATTTTATTTCTGTCCTATGTTCCTATATACCCGCCTATCAGTATAACTATCGACATCACATTTGCTTACATTGCTAATCAAGTCTGTTCAAGCATACATCAACACACAACCGTTCATGCGGTTATTGCACAGAGGCGCAAGTTAGGAGATGAGGGGGTCGCCAAGACCTCCCTTCACAAACTCGCTCATGGGACATTCATGGCAAAAATTTCTGATGTGAGCTGCATATTTCATAAAAATATTTTTATTGGATTGCGACTAGTAACAGCTGTTCGCTCACTCAGACACAGGTCAAATCGCGAGTCTGAGCGTGCCGAACTAAATGTTGGTAAGTTTGAGCCTGAGTGAGAGTGGTTGACAAACAGTTTAGCGAGTCCCAATTAGTTCTGTTGAGCTAAATTTAAGTGAATTTGAGTCCAAGTGACTTTCCATGGTGAAATGTATTTCTTGAGTGAGTTTAAATAGGTTCCACTTTTTCTACCGGCCTATGGCTGTTGCTCTCAAACATCAACGCTTAATCCTTGGCAGCATTGAAGGAGCTGCTGCCATTCAGCCCTCATGCCTGTGATGCAGGATCGTTTTACTGAGGCAGGGTCTCGTTTCAGGAAAGGATAAGCCAGTTTTCCACACATAAATGTCAAACATTTAAAATTAAAGTAACTTTAAATAAAAGCAAAACAATCACACTGAAACTGCATCCGTTACCAAACTACTAAGACAAGCATAGCTTTGTAATTAAATGAAGTTCTGCTGAACATTTGAAACAAAAACAGTCACTAGTAGTTTTAATGCTGGTGTCATCCACAGTGGCAGATTCATTCTTTGCAGGTGTATTTGTTGGCTGAAGCAGATGAGAAGCCCAATTCACCCATAAGTCATGAGCAGAAGTGCTTCAGTCACAGTGTGAAAACAATCTCCAAATGTGAGCAGAGAGATCAGAACATCTGATAGATAGAGCTGCAAGAGACAGGATGTCCCTTGCAGCTTCTGTTTCTTATTTCTTTGTCTAGTTGTAGTGCTGTTTATAGCAAGTTCACGACGTATTAACAAGCCTGCATTAACACTTTATATAAGACAGATCTACCCATGCATGCACCATGGTGGCTGGTCACTGCACCATCGTGGCTGGTGACCAGAAGCAGGAACCCGCTCGCCAACCTAGACGGCTGAGTCAGCCTCCCAAAGGCAGGTCAGGACCAGGACATGATGGCTGGCAGCAGGTCCTTGTTATGGTCTCGTGAATGGTAACCAACATGAGCACTGCACATCACAATGTCTAAGTATATGCACTGACTTAAATTTGGGTGATGTGTAAAAAGCACTGGCCGCTAACAGCAGCAAAAATATGGTTGTCACTAATATAAACCATGACTATATGCCTGTTGGTCCGCGGGCATAACTGCCTGTACCATGATATGAAGCAGCTTTGTGCAACTCCACATCATGAAACGTTTCTTTATCCGCCACCCGAGAACGCGCTCTGTAGCGGTCAGGCTCCGCCCAGAGACTTAGACAATATGAAACTAATACAGGCCATGCTGAACTGCTGCCTCAAACTGCAGCCAGTCTAATAGAATCAAACTTTGCCATAGCAAACATTTAGACTTTTACGAGAAATGATGCTGTTTTCTAGGGAATGTTCAGAATATGAACTATTTGTTAATGCATTAGAAACATCTTACATTGTATTACAATCACATAAAATTTATTTACAGTTGGAAAAGTAAATTTTCACCAGCTGCCCGCATTAGCTTTCATTTTGCCAAAGTATGTGTTTCCACATAGCACAGCTTAGAAAATGAAGTCAGGCATTCAATCACAAAGGAACAAATTTTCTTCGCCTGAAAGGGACGCTAAAGACAAAAAATTTCTCTTGTTCGAATGATGAGTGAAAGTTTAGGCATTGTGGTTCTTCCTCTTGTTTACTTTCTTTCTTTTCTTTCTTTTTCTTTTTTTCTCCCCCTTTTTGTTTTTTTGTTTTCTTTCCTTTTTGAGTTCCCTCTCACTCTCGCAAACATGTTTCAAGGCGAGAGGGATGCGGCAGAAACGAAGTTTGGAAATTCATGTCAGTATAACTCATCCCCTGATGAAGGGAGGACCCCTCCCGAAACTGTTGGGAAATAAATATATTTATCCTTGTTGACAACGCTCCCGTTGTGCCATATCCCATATATATATATATATATATATATATATATATATATATATATATATATATATATATATATATATATATATATATATATATATCATGACCTTTCACTGTGTTCAAACTTTGCGCACCAGCAGATGGATGTGAAGAATCATTGTGGCTGACAGCGAGTATAAGTGGACATGGCGCAATGCGCAGTGCTTTATAAGCGCTGTGCCATGTCCTATCGTGTAGCTCGACAAAAGAAATACGGAACGTCGCATGTAACAGCAACGCGCGTCCTCGCGTCATGAAAGCATGCATGCAGTTCCAAGTGCATAAATGGAACGAATTAACGCACATGTGAAGAGCAATACGAAAAGCTCTTTCACAGCATGCAGATTATCAACAAAAAGGCGCCATACACAAACAGCCTTCTTGTGATTGGTTAAACCTTAGAAAGGTAATTCATATTTATTTTACCGTTGCTGTTTTACAAATGTGAGTAAAGATATTACAGGCGAAGCATTTCTTCTATCTATCTATCTATCTATCTATCTATCTATCTATCTATCTATCTATCTATCTATCTATCCATCTATCCGTCTATCCGTCTATCCGTCTGTCTGTCTGTCTGTCTGCCTGTCTGTCTACCCACCCACCCACCCACCCGCCTGCCCGCCTGCCCGCCTGCCTGCCTGCCTGCCTGCCTGCCTGCCTGCCTGCCTACCTGCCTGCCTGCCTGTCTGTCTGTCTGGCTGGCTGGCTGGCTGGCTGGCTGCTCACGTCTGGGTGCTCTCGTGATCACCTCTTAACTTGGCGTGAACCAAAATTAGTATGGGAGAGTTCCATAGTTTGACGAATAGGACGCGCCGGTGAAGACATGAATAAGGTTACAATCCTGTTACGCACGTCGTCAAACGCTTCCTGCTGAACAGTGACACATACCCGCGGGCGGCTATGTGCCCCAAGTAATTGACACTTAATTTTTTGCATCTACCCAGGAATGACGAGAACACACGTGAAAAATTTTGACGCGGGAGCATTGACAAATTATGAACCATTTCCCCGAAGAGAACCCTGCTGGGATGCGAAGCAGCAGTGGTGCTCACGTCGTTGACCCAGTTGAAACGGGCGTCAACGCGGGTGCTGGAAGAACGGCTGGAAGCGAACTCGGTGTATTGTTTACTCGAGTAAACGTTTGTTTGAAACGCAAAGACATGGGAGGCGGGTTGGGTTTAGTGTAAGTTTCATCGCAGATAACGAGCTAAAAAAGTGTTTCCACTCGACGTGCGGTTGAGCGTTGCGGGTGGTGGAGAGGGTGAAGTGGGAGAGATGTGTGTTATGAGCGGGTGGAGGAGCCGGCAACTGCTGCGGGTGAGACGTCAACGCGCATCTGCGACTTGACCTACTTGGCAGTGCTCCAATACCTGCGGCGAGAGAAACGCGCTGCGGTGCGTTCGCACGGACGTACGTACGGCGTTAAACGCGTGAGTCAGAGATGCTTCGCATCTAAAAAGCCTTACATCGGCAGTGCTGACCCGACAAATGCAAAGAATAAATGTCGCGGTCCTATCAGGAATCGAACCCAAGCATTCTGCACGGCACTCAAGCATATTCTACAACAAAGCCACGCCAGATCTCGGACCTACTTTTCAAATAGCTTAATACCTAAACATGATCATGAAACGTTAACAGTGGTTGCAGTGGTGGCAATCCAGCTTTATAAACATTACATATGTACTCCTACGATGCAGCTGTGATATCGGGTTGACGTCAATTGTTGCTAGGTGCCATGCACTGAAGTTGATTTATGCAGCAGCGTCCAGGGCTACCATCCTCACTAGCACCAGCACTTCATACCAGCTTATTGATTCTGGTGTTCCTAATGCTCAAGTTCATGTTTGCATCATTGCACAAGTGCAAACAACTGGTTATATAAACACTTGGAATTCTTCAATGTATGCCTGTGTGTGGAACATTTGGACGTATATTTGGCATAATTTCATGACGTGCGCTATAAAAAAATCACAACATGGTCACGCTAAGCATGCCTCCGCATGCTTCGCATAATGTCGATTCCGGAGCTACGTGGAATATTGCTACGTGCCAGTGCATGGAGCTGAAGAAGACGAAGCAGATAGACTGGCACGAGCTAATCTGTGTGGCTGGCGCTGCTCGCCTAACCGTCTGTAAATACATCGGTGACTACCCCTCTGAGTCAGTCTCCTTCCCGTAACATATTTGGTGGAGTTGTGCGATCCCCGTCCTCGCCACGGAACTCCGAAGCGGACGCTCACTCGCGGCTTCCAACATGACCACCCAAGAATCGGCTACATCCTCTCCGGTCGCTCCCCCTTCTGCCCGACCTGTCAACCCAGCGCCCGCAACAACATTCGTGACGCTTCCCGCGCTCAAAGACCCCGGCGTGTTCTCGGGCAGCGAGGGTTCCGACGTCGACCAGTGGCTACGCCTCTACGAACGCGTCAGCGCCACTTACAGGTGGGATCCCACTCTTATGCTGGCAAACGTCATCTTTTATCTCGACGGAACACCTCGTGTTTGGTTTGATAACCACGAGCATGACATAACAAGCTGGGACAGCTTCAAGGCAAAGATCCGTGAGCTTTTTGGCAACATCTCTGGTCGTCGTGAAGCTGCGAAAAATGAGTTGTCGACTCGCGCACAATCTTCCACGGAGCCCTACATCGGTTATATTCAGGCTGTTCTTTCACTATGCCGCCAAGCTGACGAAAATATGTCTGAACCTGAAAAAGTTGCCCATATCCTAAAGGGTATCGCCGACGATGCGTTCAACTTGTTGGTATTCAATAATGTGTCGTCTGTTGATGCCATCATTCAAGAATGCCGCCGGTTCCAACAAGCTAAAAGCAGACGCATCTCCCATCAGTTCCAGCGCCTCCCGAACACCACTGCGACGTCCTCATGTCTCGACACATATCATCCACCAGACAACTGTGACAACTTGACGCGAATCGTCAGGCGGGAGCTTGAAGCCGCTGCTCCAGCTAAGGTGGGAACAACGTCCCCTGACCCCTCTCCGCCAATTACGTTGCCTCTCATTCAAGCAGTCGTCCGGCAGGAAATCGCCAGCTTGGGAATTCACTCTATCTCACCGCCTACCCGCACCGACTACCAGCCCCGATACACGCCTGCACGTCCCTTCCCGACCGGCTCTCCCTCAACGTTCCGTAATCCGTCCGCATGGCGAACACACGATGACAAGCCGATATGCTTCTCGTGTCACAGAATCGGGCACATTTCTCGCCATTGCAGAAGTCGCTGGGGTCCTCCTGCACAACCGTCCTCTCGTCCCTTATATGCACGTCCTGCCTATCGCCATGAGACCAACCGCGACCATTTTGCCCAGGAACCTGCTTCTGAACGCCGCTACTCCCGCTCTCCATCCCCCCAGCGTCGCCAGTCTCGTTCTCCACCATAAGGTATGTAACTGCGCAAAAAACTGACGGAAACAAGAAGGAGAGAAAAAGGACAGACAAGCCACCTCCTATCCGCCCCTGAACGTAACTATTCGATAACAGAGCGTGAGTGCATGGCTCTTGTATGGGCGGTAGCGAAATTTCGACCTCATCTATACGGACACCCATTTTCGGTAGTTACCGACCACCACGCACTCTGCTGGCTGAACTCTCTGAAAGATCCATCAGGCCGCCTTGGTCGCTGGGCTTTGCGCCTGCAAGAGTTTTCCTATTCGGTGGTCTACAAATCTGGCCACCTACACCGTGATGCCGATTGCCTCTCCCGGTACCCTGTCGACGATCCTGAGGACACTGACGAGCCCACGGAGAACTCTATCTTGTCAGTTTCCGACTTCCTTAATATTGGGGAAGAACAGCAGCGTGATCCAGAGCTGCTTGACATCATCAGCCGTATGTAATCCTCCACAAATGATGCTTCCGTCCGCTACTTTGTCATTCAAAAGGGTGTGCTATACCATCGCAATTTCCGACTAGACGGGCCCGACCTTCTCAGTGTTGTGCCTAAGCATTTGCGCCGCTGTATTCTCACCGAACTTCAAGACGCTCTCACGGCTGGACACCTTGGCGTATCCCGCACGTGCGAGCGCGTCCGGCACCGTTTCTTCTGG